AAAAAAAAGAAAGAAATATATATATATATATACACACACACACACACACATATGTACACATACACGCCTGTTCAGACACATTACCACTGCTGGAAAACTAACTGGGAAATGACTTCTCTTGATTTTCTTTTCCATGTCATCCTTGCACAGGGGCCATGCTAACCTTTGCAATTGTAGTATATGTGCTGTTCTTAAATCAGTAGAATCATCTTTATAATCAATTACTACTAAGAATTTTATACTTCTTCATTTTTTTCTTGAGACAGGGTCTCACCGTGCTGTGCTGGCTGGCCTTAAACTCACTATGTAGCCCAGGCTAGGCTCAAACTCACAGTGGTTGTCCTGCCTCAGCCTCCCCAGTGCTGGGATCACAGGCATGTATATGATCCCTGCTGTTCTTTATCACTTTTATTGCTGTGTTTGAAGATATTTCTTTAAATCCTGTAGAATAAATAAATGCAGTAATGTTTTCAAAAACTGAACAGACCATCTAAACTTACTTCATGCTTCATTGGAGTAGCAAATTCCAAAATGATTTCTATAAAAATCTTTTGAATTCCCAGGAAGCAAAAGTATCCAATTTGGGAAATTCCAAGTAATCCATGTTTCAGAAAGCAGGTATCATTTGAGTGAATGAGGTACACATTCATGATGGGCCCATCAAAGTAGACCTTTAAAATCCTAGATGCTGCTCTTGCGCTGTAATGAAGGGAGCGAAATGAGTCTTTACAGCTGAATATTACTTGTAATGGGCAGATACAGTTACAAGTGCAAAGCAAACACTTTTGCACCCTTTGGTCATTAACATCAGGTGTTCGTTATGTTACAAGTATAATTTATAGGGAGGGGAAATGGACACAACCGTATCATGAGCAGAACATCCCTAACAACAGATGCTGAGTCTGCGAAACAGTTTCCTTAAAGGCTTTTCTTCATAGGCACTCAGAGTAAGCTTAGTTCCTTGTTAGTGAAAGGCACAGACAGAACTGCTACAGTGTATTTATTTCATGGCTGAACTCACGCTGATGGACGGACTCAGCACCCTCCCAGGGCACGCTCGGGCCCTCAGACACTTTGCTCATTTTTCACTGGAGCTGTTCTTTCATCTTTAGAGATAACGGACGGCAGTCATTACGAGGACACTCGTTACTTCAGAACTCATCTTCTGAGATAATCCTTGACGCAGGAATAGTTTGCTGTTATTTTCATAGGAACCTCTGTGTAGTACCAGTCAAGATCTGTGAGCCTCTTTTTGACCCACAAGTCTAGTCTCAATCAGCAGTCCTCGGGGGCAGCAGTATCAGCCAACACTGGAGTGTAGTGTCCCCTCCATCTGTGCCGTCTGTGGAAAGAGAGCTCCCTTTGGAAGAGCGCCGCCTTCGTGTTACAGGGAGGAAGAGGCATCTAAATCGGTTTCGTGGCCTTTCGCTGACAGCTTCGGAAGGAGAAGCGATCACAGCATGTTTTTCTCCCACATTCAGTAAACAGTTATCTATGTCATGTGGTATCTAAAAAGTTAGTCTTCAGTATAAATTTACAAGCAGCACCGATTTGTAAAATAGCATCAGAAGGCAAACATACAGTTGAAGCCATTTCACAGAGAGAAGGGCAGGGGGCCCGATCGGAGGACGGCCGCTCTCCGAGCCGTAGCCCTCCCTCCCCACTCGCTCCCTCCAGACAGCTGGCTCTGTCCCCGTACGCTCACCTTGTCTTTCGGTTGTGGCTCTAGGTGGGAAAACACTTCCTCCCTTCCACCTTTCATAACTGTGACTCAAACTCAAAATGAGAGGAAAAAACCACCTAAATGGCATTTTTTTTTAAATTTCTTTTTTTGTCTTTTTGAGACAGGATTCATGTAGTTCAGGCTGGCCTTGAGCTCACTTTGTAGTCCAGGCTGGCCTCAAACTTGCAATAATCCCCCTGCCTCAGCCTCCTGAGTGCTGGGATTATAGGCATGTGCCACCACACCTGGCAATATTTTTTTTAAAAAGAACACATCTCTGTTAAGCTAAAAAGTTTTTTTTTTTTACTAATCTAAAACTTTATAAAAATTTCAACATGATTTACAAAAGAAATTTAGTAGGTTCTTAGAACACAATAAAAAATACACATAAGCATTGGCAGACCTTTAAACCTCCAAGTGGTTTTCATGATAGAAGAAACTCCCTTTTAACCCGAGTGCTGTCCTGCTGAGGTCCCTGGCACAGCTTCCTTAACGCACTTTCTCCAGGGACCAAGTGCAGACGTGATGTTTTGCAACGTCAGACTGGTGGCCACTCTGTTCTTCATCACTTGTGTGAACAAACTGCCATCATCACTCACCAAAAAACCCACGTTTGAGTACGTTCAGCCCCGAGGTCATTCCACTCTGCCTCTCGAGGGCTGGAAATTGGACGCTGCTTCCTGATGCCTACCGCACCCCACTGTGGCTCGATGCCTAGCGAAGAATACAGTAAAACGACACACAACAGTGCAGGAACCGTTGTGACAAAACCCTTCAAGTGCATCTTGTGGAACAGGCCAGATCGCTCATGGAGTTTGTATAAGTGTGATAATGTGTCCAGGAGGGTAAAAGACCTGTTTGCTTTTACCTGTATCCCTACACAGAAATGAGCAAAGACTTACCAGTCTTGGGTATATCTGCACTCTGCTGTGATAGCCAGGTTCAACAAACTAAGGGTAAAACATACCTGTGATTCAGGTTTCTGTCGTTATTTTACTATAACCAGTTCCATGAAACTAATGTTAAAATACGGACCTTCTCTACCTCCACCGGCCTCCCACACACACAGTTTATTTGCTGTATTTTAGGAAACTTTTTAAACCTCATTTCTCTTCCTTTCTGTGCTCTCTGCTTTGTAACATATTTACGTAACCTTTCCCGTGCTGTCCTGTAGGTGATGCCAGTGTATGGTAAATCACATAGTTGAGTCTCTGGAAGGACCTTATACCGTCAGACCGTAGTTAATAGAAGCTAGGAGTTTTTTTAGAGAAGTGTGGCATTAACTCGCTCTTTTCCCTTTTTGCTTAGCACTTCAGTGTTTCTAAATGAAATGTGGGCTGGGGATTTAGCTCAGTGGCACAGCACCTGCCTGGCAAGCTTGAGGTCATGAGTTCGATTCCTGGTCCCAAAAAACAAACCAAAACAAAATTATCCATCGAAATGAAATGTTCCAAACTCCTATATCTCCGTTATCCGAAATAATCGAAAGGTACTAAGGTAGTAAGTTAAGGTCCTTGTTGTAGTAGTCTGCTTATTCCTCCACTGTTGAAATTAAATTAATTTTGTTATTAGGTCTGTTTTGTTTCCATCTTAGTTCTAGATATTATAATTAAAAAGTGATTCTCTTTGAATCTCCCTCTTTCTCTCTGCCAGACTTGAGTCTGTTCACATTAGATGCTGCGAACCAAGTGGGCTCTTCCTTCATTTTCCGTAGCGCTTACGTTAGCAAAGGACCAGGGTTTTGCCTTCCCCCTCTTCGTCCTCGCAGCCGCCGTGATCCCCTCTTCAGGTGCCTTACAGTCGCCCGCAGAGCAGCAGCGCTCGGCGTGGCGCTGGGGAGGCCCTGCCTCGCTGCTCTTTGCCCTGGCCCATCTCATGCTTAGACTGCTCGGGAGGGTCTGTTTTTACCAGACCTTCCCAGGCTGAGTTTGGCTAGTTCATAGCAGGAAGCCCCACGGTGAGGACGGTAACTGTATCCCAGGCCGCCAGCCTTCCTGCCCTTGCTGCCGCCTCACTGCCAGCATAAGCCAGCATCACTGCGTCTACAGGTGTCTTTCCTGAGCTTTTTAAAGAAGTAAATAAGGGTGAGATAACTTGAAATAAACTTTTCTGATGTAGAAAAATGAAGGTTATGGTTAACGATGATCTATCTTAATTTGGTGAGATCTGCAGTATTTCTGTAAGAAATACAGGGTCCTTAACCTTGAAGATTTTCTGAAAAAAAAAAAAAAAAAAAAAAAACCTGAAGACTCTTACTGAGTTTAACTTTCATGTTTGTTCTTATATTTGACTGAACTTAAACTCATATTTTATTACAAAATGTAAAATCAGATCTGCATTTTGAGGGGAGGACTAGCCAGACAAATATGTACTTATTCTTTGAAAAAGGAGACAAGCGATCACATATGACGAGTGGTCTAGAGATCCAAGTACATTGCTGAGTCTCTGTGGTTTTCCCTTTGAGCGAACCCCCAGCCCGGCTTAAGGATTCGGCCCGAAGAGCAGCTCTGCAGTGACTGCGGCAGTGTGATGCCCTGATCACGAGCCCTGCTGTCCCTGTGACGCTGGACACGGCCGTGCGGGTGTGTGGCCGCGGAGTTCTGCCTCTGACCGTGGGATACTCTCTGCTAGCCACCCCAGGGGGCCCGAGGCCAGGAGCACAGGGACCATCGCAGGAGCCTGGCTGGGCCCCAGAAAGCAAGCGGCATCACCTTCCTCGGGAGCCTCAAGTCTAAGCTATGAAATGAGGGTCTCCCCATGCCCAGAAACAGTGCAGGGAGGGACGTTGACCTGGTTGTATCTTTTCTCCCTAGAGCTTTGCGGTTTGTCGTTCGTTCATTCAACAAGTTTTCTTTTCAAGGAAATTGGTATTTATTTCTCATGAGTCTTTATGTTTTCATATTCTTAGCTTCAGTGCTAAAATTCACATGCTCTGAATATTTTTGCCAGCTTACACACTTGTCCGGCTGTCACTGCTTCGTGTCGGTGTCGGTGTCGGTGTCAGCAGAGGACGTTCCTAACGGCTGGATTCTCTCTCATCTTTTACTTAGGGTGTTCCGGTGATGGCAATAAGAAACAAAATGATATCGGAAGGACTGGACCCGGACCTGCTTGAGTAAGTCGTCTCTCTAATTCAGTTGCTGTCAGGAGAGTGAATGTGTCAGTTATAATAAACATACTTCAGGCGCTCTTTCCCTTTGTACTGTTTCATATTTCACAAAGCCATCTTCATAAATAACGTCTACATTTTTTAAATATCCTGTGCCACCAACACCAGCTTTGACACATCTTAGGAGCAGTTTCAATAGATGAGTGATGAGTTTAGGTATCCAAAGGAGCCAGAATTTTATGGCACTTTTTTTTTCATGCTTTTTCCTTTTTGAAGGAGCACTGAGGCGGGCTTTAATATAACCAGCATTTCACTTAAAATTTCAGTATATAGGAAATCTATTCTACCATAACCTAAATTAAGCCACATTGAGAAATAAATAGGGCAGAAAGTTATCCTAAGTCCACGTTAACGGTTGTTGTGAAGCTAGATACCAGTTGGTGTAGGTCTTATAAAACATTTCTTGAGAAATGCGAAAAAATAGTAGCTTGGAACTTCGGTAATAATTTATTCCATTCCAAGCAAACCTGGCCACGTTCGCCCTGTATATAATGAACCCTAACCGATCCTCAGAACACGTCGCATCTCCCCAGTCTGGAGTCCCCTTGGCCCGGAGCTGGCCAGGCATTGGTGCGGAAGGAACTAGCGCTCTGTTAGGGAGCGCTCAGCACGCGCCCTTCCCGGAGCAAGGGGAAGCACCACGGGAGGTTTTTCTCATGTGACCCTCCAGCTCACAGAACGTAAGGATGTTCACGCCAGCAGGAACGGCGCTCCAGCGCAGATCTGCATGTGCTGCCTCTGCAGGAAGCAGATGGTTGGAGTGAATGGCACGGCGTGGGGATTGGGCTAAAGCAGCTCTGGCGTATTTGGCATTTGTTCCAGAAATTGTCTCTGACACCTGAAAACCAGTGAGCTGTGATGCCCTGTGGTATTCACCGAGCACTGAGTTATCCACTGCTGGTGCTCACTGGGGAGTGTAAGCTACAGGTGTGTTTGCCTTTGACCTCTTGTTCTTGTGCAAATGCACGGTAGGCTCCCTGCAGTATCAGCTGTGATGGCCTTTACAGCACTGATCCTTCTCTCCAGAAAAAATGCAGTGACTGGAAGGCCAGTGCTCTAGAAGCACAGCGTGTGCAGGGTGTCCAGCCCTGTCCAGGCTCAACTCAATTCCTTCATTCCCCCCGCTGTTCATACCTGCGGTGCGGAAATCACCCTTGCTTCCACCCTCTTCCCACCTAGATGACCTGATCTGTCTGCGATCTGGAGCACAGTGCACACAAATACACAGTGACCCACAACCAGTGATTTTCTCATTCCCTTAAGAAACCCCTTGCTGGTGTGATGGTGCATGCCTGTAATCCTAGCACTTAGGAGGCTGAGGCAGGAGGACTGCTCGAGGCCAGCCTGGGCTACATAATGAATTCAAGCCTAGCCTGAACTAATAGAGAGACCTTCCCTCTAAATAGATAGGTAGGTAGGTAGGTAGGTAGGTAGATAAATAGCCCACCCCCAAAAATTAAAAAATAAAAGAAGCCCCTCGATGGCTCTAGGGAGACTCGAGCTCCCAGGCACCCTGGATCTCCCGCCCGGATCCGAGCATGTGTTACTGTCTGTGAACACTGCGAAGCATCCCGTGAGGGTGGGCCTGAGTCTTGGGCAGGAATCGCAGGGGCGGCTCACGCCGTCATCCGTCTTCCGGCAGAGCTGCTCTTCAGCCTGGCTCGGTCATGACTGTGACCTCATTAGCACGTGGCACAGGTCACCAGGACGGGCTGAGTGGGGCGCTCTGTAACCTGTCACCACCAGCAGCAGGCCAGTTCCAGCCACGCTCCCTCCACCTGATGACCTTGTTCTCAGAGGAACGCTGGGGCTTTGGACTCAAGTTCGCTGGAAGTGGGAAGCCCCTGCGGGAAGAAAGGGAGAGGTGATGAAAGGGAGGGAATGTGGCAGCCAGGGAGCGCACAGCCGCTCAAGTCTGGGCGCACGGTAGCCTCGGCCAGGAACTTGCACAGAGACTGTTCTGTCTTCCTTTGGCTGTGCAAGTGTAAAGTTAGGTAGGGAGGCGGATGCCTCGCTGTGAGAACGCCTAGATCGTCTGCATGGAGCACAGCACACACCTCTGGCTGACACGTACACAGTGATCCGCAAGTACAGTGTTACTTGGTTGGCTTGTGTGTGTACATACTTGGTAGCTAAAAGCATGCAGTCTTTTTAACTAAAATAGTTTACATGGTAAAGGGGGAAAGCCTGGCAATTTTTCTAGAAAACTGACATGGAATTTTAGAAAACTGAAGATGCTTGATAATTCCTAAATAAATATTATTGATACTCCTAGGTGGTTATTAATTTTTTTTCCAGTACCAGGAATCGAACTCAGGATCTCGCACTTGCCAGGCAGGCGCTTATGCCGCTGAGCTGTATCCCCCACCCTGGTTATTTTAAGTAACACAGGAATATAGTTCAGTGGACAGCGCCTGCCTGGCAAGTGCCAAGGTCCTGAGTGTGAGTCTCTGTACAAAAGATAAAGTAACAAGAATTCTTCTATAATAGAGAATTAGTCTTATAAAAGGTAGTTTCAGGATGCCAATAATCCCAGCACTCCGGAGGCTGAGATAAGACCATCGCAGAGTCAGGGCCTGCGGGGCACACGTAGTGACTTCGAGGCTGGCCTGGACCGCACAGGGAGGCACTTAGGGGCCCTCTCCGAAAACGTGTGTTCCCGTGCCTTTCAAATAAGGTGTGGAACAATACCCTTGTTACTCTCACACACAAAAGTTTGGGGGAAAAGATAACGGAAGATTTTAATGGACTTTTGCCCCAAGGTTAATCTCCTTTAATTTTCCATCAGAAATACAAAGTGGATAAATCACACTTGGAAATTTCTCTCCGTTGATGCCTGTAAAAAAACGTTTGTCTCCCTGCTGCACATTTTTACCTTTGTATCCCAGAGTGAGCGGTGCTGTTATCTCCTAGTAGCTAGTACGTTTATGAGTCTGGGGTAGGTAGGTTGGCTCTGGGCCTGCCCATCAGGAAGACAGGAAATTCGTGACTGTGAAGGCTCAGACTGAAGCCGGCCCTCCCAAGGGGCCCGGTGCCGGCTTTCCGTCCCGCCCGGCTGCTTCCTAGCTGCGGACCCGGGTCGGTCACCTGGCCGCCGACCTGCGCTGCTCTCCGTGCCGTGGCAGGCAGACAGGTTCAGTCCTCGTGGGCGGCTCAGAGCGGACAGTGAGGCCGGCACTCTGCACAGCTCTGTCCTCACCTGGCGCGGTGGCTCTTCTTTTTTTTTTTTTTGTCTTTTTCAGACAGGGTCTCGCCATGCAGTTCAGGCTGCCCTTGAGCTCACTTTGTAGCCCAGGCTGGTGTCGAACTAAGCGAGCAAAGTACACTTCGGGGGAGCTCAGAGGAAAGGAGGAACAGCAGAGCAGCTGTGTCCTAATAATTAAAAACTACTACACTTAAATTCAGGCTCTGCATTCTTATTAAAGATTTTTTTTGGTACCAGGAATCCAGCTGAGGACCTTCCGCTTGCCAGGCAGGCACTTGTGCCGCTGAGCTATATCCCTGGCCCTAATGATTTTTTTTTTTGAGACAGAGTCTCACTGTAGTTCAAGCTGGCCCTGAACTCAGTGATCCTTCTGCCTCAGCCTCCTGAGTGCTTGGATAAGTTTACTTTCTCGGTGAGTGACAGGAGGCTGACCGTGGTGCCATTGTGCTGATTCAGTGATTTAACACAAACACAAACACTGGGGCCTCTAAGCAGCAGTTTGAGTAACACCATTCGCAGTTTATTTTGTTCAGATCTTTTTTTTTTTACCAGGAATCGAACTCAGGTCCTTGCACTTGCCAGGTGGGCGCTGTGCTGCTGAGCCACATCTCTAGCCTCACACTTCATCCTGTTTTATTGCAGCACACTGGCAAAGCTGTAGCCCCCCATTACCCTGTCTGCTCTCTGTGCTTGGGAGGTCATTAGGTGGTATTTTTACCAAGGCAGACCTTTCCCGTTCATTCCCTAAAGACAACTTCAAAGGGAGAACATTGCGCTGATACGAAGAACCTTCTCTAACCAGATACTTTTCTCTCTTGGTGTGTAATTCAGGCTGCTCTTGAACTCATTGTGTAGCCCAGGCTGGCCTAGAACTCATGTGATCTTCCTGCCTCAGCCTCCTGCAGTGCTGAGGGCCTTCGTGGCAGGGGCCACCACGTCCAGCAGTTGCCTGTGTCACAGTAGCCATTCTTGAACTGTCTGCTGTTTCAGAGTTTCTCCCTGCAGCGTTCCTGAGCACGAGGGCTTTCCTTTTCTTCCTCCTCCCGCTTGCCTTTCTCAGCACTTGCACCCCGCAGCAGGGCCTTCGCGAAGTCGTGCAGCCAGGCCTGGAGCGGGGCCTGTGTGGGGATGAGGCGCAGGCCTTGAGGAGCACTCATCGCCAGAGTCGCTGGGGCCTCAGCGAAGGGCGCTGCGCGGCCGGTCACCAGGGGGCCCTAACTGCAATGCTAAGTGCCTTTCTTCAACTGGGAAAACCCTCAGCGGCTTTCTTCTCTCTCAGGCGGCCTGACGCGCCCGTGCCTGACGCTGGCGGCGAGAAGAGCATAGGCGAGAGCTCGGACAGCGAGTCCTCCTTCAGCGACTGAGCCGGGTCCTACGCACAGCTGCGCCCAAGTGCTGACCTCTGCCTGCGTCCTACAGCATCCGCCACCGCGCTGCCTGTGTTAAAAGAACGCGTTTTTAACCCTCCAGCACGTTTTGCTGTGGAAATAAAGGGCTCTGGAATGAGAAACAATAACCTGAACTGCAGTGAGTGCTTTAGTGCTCAGAGGACATGTCCCAGGGCTGGGGTTGTGCTCCAAAGTAAAGCTAATGTGAGTTCATACTCACTGCAAAAATGAATAAGTTTTATACATTTTTTGAATGCTTTAGCATGAAAAATAATATGTACCTTTTTTTTTTTTGAGACGGGGTCTCATAGTCCAGGCAGACCTTGAACTCACCACGTAGCCCAGACTGGCCTCAAATCATGTCAGTCCTCCTGCCCGGAATGGCAGGTGTGCACCACGGCGCCTCGCAGTTGTGCCCAATTTCTGTGAGCTCTTAAATTCCCAGCAGGAAGTAATACTGGGTGGAAATTTCCTGTGGCATCTTGACCTACTTTGGATACGGGGCTTTTTGGAAATATTTATGAGCAAATACAGCTGTTTTGTCACTTGGTTGATGGTCTGTATATTATCAAAGTCTGATACCTTTATTATGTTTATTATCAAATGGAAGTGTTGGAGGTGTTTACAGTGTACTTCAGAATGAGCAAGGCTGCACCAACTCCTTTACCGCCTTAGCGAGAATAGTTTGGTTTGCAGAGCTCTCCCCTGAACCTTGCACATAGGTCTTCATGCTTAGTCGAGAAAACCTATGAAAGCAGGCGTGGTGGCGCACACCTGTAATCGCAGCACTCGGGAGGCTGAGGCAGGAGGATCACTGCGAGTTCAAGGCCAGCCTGGGCTACAAAGAGAGCTCAAGGCTAGCCTGATTTGCGTGGTGAGACCCTGTCTCAAAAAGAAGAAAAGAAAACCTATTAAGAACTAGGTGGAAAGAGAACAACGCACTGGATTGATGGTGCTTGTTATAGTTTCTACCTGGACGTCTCCCCCAAACCGCTCAGGGGCAGGGCTTGTGAAATGATGCGGTCAGGGCCGTTGTATTGGTCTTGGTGTTGGGGGCGGGGCCTTGTCATAAGGGGCGGGGTCTGGCCTGGGCTGGCTAGGGAATGCTCGTCTTGGTTCAGGTCACCGAGGCGCAGGAAAGGACTCGGCGTGCAGGGCGTTTGTGAGGTGGTCTTCTAGGCAAGAGCCGAGAACATTAGGGACAAAACCGGGTGAGGGGGCCACCAATGAGGTGTGGTGTGCTGAGCCCTGGGGAGCGTGCAGGAGCCTTCGGATTTCTCCGCCTCGGAGAACTGGAGCCGTACTAGGCAGCCGTGACCCGCTGGGGAGCTGCTTCACTGCGGGCCTTGGGGCTGACCTCCGCGTGGGACGCAGGCTCCCCGGATCCCGCCGAGGGCCGCGGAGCAGCCGCAGGAGCCGCTCTGGCCTGCTGGGGGTGTCCCGGCACGAAGGGCACCGGCCCACGCAGAGCTGTGCAGGTCAGCGGGAGGGTGCGACGGGCGGCTGGGTTCACGTCTCCTGCCACCGAGACAGGCGGTGGCCAGCCACTGCCCTCGTAAAGACGGCCGGGGAGACAGGAAGGCGCGCTGCGGGCGCAGGGCCGTTGTTCGTGCCGGATGTGTAGCGGCCTGGCTGGAGGGCCGGGGGATGCCGCCCTGTCCTCCCTCGGAAGTTTGTCTTTAGGCTGTGACTCCCACCGTGTGTGCGCACGGCGCTGGGTGACGTCTGGAGAACACCGCGCGTCCGTCAGTGCCGGCTCGCTGCAGGGCCCCTTCCGTTTTTGTGTCCCGCTGGTTTCTTCTCGGAACCAGGTAATGCTCTCGGAACCGCTTGCGGCCCCGGCTTGCTGCTCGGGCGTGCGAGGTCGCGCGTGTCTGAGAGCGGGGTGGCGTGGGCTGCTGGTCCCTGGTCCCGGGACTGGTATTCTGTTCACTTTCAGGTCGTGATGCTGGCCAAGGCCCAGGGAGAGGGGAAGGAAAGCTCCATTATGAGTAGTAATTACAGCCGGGTGGGAGGGCGCACGCCTGTCGTCCCAGCACACGGGAGGCTGAGGCAGGAGAATCGCCACGAGTTCCAGGCCAGCCTGGGCTATCCAGTGAGACCCCCCCATCTCAAAAAAAAAAACAGTAATAGTCACAAGAGGAAAGAATTGATTTGGTATGAGGCAGGCTGCCGCCGCCCTCCTCAGCCGCAGGGACTCCGTTCTCTGCAGAGCGCCGGCCTCTCGAGTCCCCCGCGGCCACACAGCGCGCGCTCGGCGCGGGACGCGAGATCCGCACCCCGTGCCCGCGCTCCCTCTCTGCGTGCGTCCGCCTCCCCCGCGGCCCTTAGCGGGAACTTGGCGCGGGGCGGGAGGCAGCCTCTCCCTCGCCCAGCCCGCAGCACGCCGGGCCGGCCCCTCCAGGCCGGCTCCAAGGCCCGCGGTGCCCCTGCGGTGACCTAGCAGACGCGGCCGGCCC